AGAGGAGGTTTCAGGGGACTGAAGAATAGCCAATGTTGTCCCTTTTATAAGAAGGGTAGCGAGGATAATTCAGGAAATTACATGCCTGTGTGCCTCACGTCAGTGGTAGGGAAATTATTGGAATAGATTTTCAGCGGCAAGAAAAATACGCATTTAGAAGCAAATCGACTTGTTAGCGATAGACAGTGTGGTTTTGGACGAAGGTGATTGTGCCTCACTAAATTTGTCGAGTTTTTTGAGGACATGACAAAGATTATTGATGAGATAAAAACGGTCAACGTAGTCTACACGTACTTCAGTAAAACCTTTGAAAAGATCCCTCATGGCAGACTAGTACAAAAAGTCAAGCCACGTGGTATCAGGGATGAGCTGGTAAGATGAATACAGAAGTGATTATGGCTAATGGCTTAACATTAAGAGACAGAGGGCAGGGCTGAAGGATTTTTTTCGGAATGGAACATTGTGAGCTGTGGTGTTCCACAAGGATCAGTGCTGTTGGTGGTCTACATAAATGATTTGGAGGAAAACGTGGCTGCTCTAACAATAAGTTTGCGGGTGATACAAAGATTGATTGAGATGCGGATAAGGAGGAGGATTGTCAGAGGATGCAGCAGGATGAATATCAGTTGGAGGCATGGGCAGAAAAATGGAAGATGGAGTTTAATCAGGACAAATTTTGGAAGGTCAATAAAGGTGGAAATTATACTGTGAATAGCAGAATCCTTAGGAGTATCGTTTTGCAGAGGAATCAGAGTGTGCAGTTCTACAGATCACCGAAGGTGGAAGCGCAGGTAGACAGGCAAATAATGTAGGAAAAAAAAAAGTCTATGGCATACTTGCCTTCATTAAATGGGGAATTGAGTATAAGGATAGGCAAGTTATGCTGCAGCTTTATAGAAGTGTAGTTCGGCTGCAATTGCGTGCAGTTCTAGTCACTGCAAGATAAGAAGGATGCGGATGCTTTGGAGAGGGTACAGAGAAGGTTTACCAGAATGTTATTTTGTATGAGGCTATTAGCTCTGAAGAAAGTTTGGACAGATTGAGTTTGATTTCACTGGAACGTAGGACATTGAATAGAGACCTGATAGATGTTATAAGATTGTGAATTGCATGGATAGAGTGGAAAGTGTAAGGTTTTTTTTTCCCCGGGTTGGAGGGGTCAATTACCAGGCGACACAGGTGGTAGATACGGGTGGAAGCGAGTTTAAAAGAGATGCGTGATGCAAGCACTTCACACAAAGGGTAGAGAGTGTGCCTGGAAAGAGGAGGTGGTGGAAGGCAAAGGAACAGTATTCAAGAAATACTTGGATTAATACATGAATGGGGAGAGAACAGAGGGATAGAGATCCTGTAAGTCAAGGCACTTCTAGTATGGAAGAGCAAAATGTGTCAGCACGTGCTTGGAGGGCTGAAAGGCCTGTTACTGGGCTGCATTGTCCTTTGTTCTTTGGTCTTTGAAATAGGAACAGGAGTAAGCCATTCGACCCATCAGGTCTGCTCCTTCATTCAACAGGTTCATGGCAGACCCAACACTCCTTACATCCACTTCACTGTCCTTTCCTCATGAAACTTGATTCACTTCCTGAGGGGAGACAATGACCTTGTCTTGTTCTCTCTGGACTGTTAATCCAGAGAGCCAGGTATTGTTTTGTGGGACAGGGTTCAAATCCTGCCACGGCAACTCGTGGGATTTGAATTCAGAAAGACTCAAAATTAACCGGTCAACAGTGACCGTGAATATATTGCCGGTTGTCAGAAAATCCCATCTGGTTCATTAATGTCTTTTAGGGAAGGAAACATACTTACCTGGTCTGTCCTACATGTGATTCCAGATCTACAGCAATGTGGTTAACTCTTAACTGCCACCTGAGCAATTACGGATGGGCAATAAATGATGGTCTAGCCAGAGACGTCTTCATCCCATGAAAGGATAAAGAAAAAAGAAATTAAACATCTATCTATTTCAACCGTAAATGCAAACTAGGGCACTGCCCCCATAGCTCTCTGTGGCAAAGTGTTTATGTGATTACTATATCTGTATCATTAATTCCATGACATGCACTGCGCTTCTAATGTCAGAGGAATGTGGTCGCAATCGATAATAATGCACAGAAATCTGGGAGATGGCACAGGCCAATTCATAACTGTGTAGAAGACCATCTGAAGTAGCATCAGAAAGTATGCTATTCAGCCCTTTGTGCTTGCTGCACTATTCATTCAAATAAGTCTGATTTAACATTCCTTATGTTCACATCCATGCTCTTACACATCGCCATTTATTTTCATACCCATCCAGAATTCTATCCAACTTAACCTCAATTGCGTGCAAGGACTCCACTTCCTCAGCTCTCGGCGGCAAGGAGTTTTAAAGACTTGTAACCCTGTGAGAGGAGAAATTCCTCCTCACCTCGATCTTAAATTGACACATCTTTATTTTGAGACTATCTCATTGGCAAAAGGCTTTCCAATGAGGGGACACATCGTCTCAGCAATTACTCTGCCAAGCATTTTAAAAACCTTATGTCTCCATAAGATCACTTTAGATCTTTTGTCTGTTTGTGCTGTTCTGAAATAAACATTTTTTTCAAAATATGCTTTAAGATTTTCCACCGTCATCAGAACTGAAAGAAAACCAGCACAACACCTGAGAACAATGGCATATTCCTGTTTCTCTGGGCATGTGCCAATCATCTTAGTTCTGTAATATTATTCTGTATGTTCAATTTAGTGAAAAGTGTATCTGTTACTCAGCTGTGACATCTCCTCATGGACAAGGCGGATGAAATGGAGCAGCAAAAATATCTTCAGCGAATGTAAATCTGATAATGATGCAATATGTTAATTTTGTCCTCAACGAGGGACAGATTGCGGTATAAATAGAAAACATCCACTGCCCTCAGATTCATTAGAAGTGAAGCCATCAATCTGGATATATTCCAAACATTCTTCTGAGAATGACACAACCAATAATTCTCCAGATAAAGATAATTTACTACCCGTTTCTCGCAGCCTTTGGCCTTCCTGGTATGTCGGTAATATGGAGGTGGCCGTAGATGTTTGTTATTTGAACTGAAGACCTATGACGATTAGTGTGCTTCAAGGATCGGTTCTGGGTTCAATTTTGTTTGCCATTTATTTCAATAATTTGGATGAGAATATAGGGGGTACAGTTAGTACGTTTGTGGATTACACCAACATTACTAGTCCAGGGGACAGTGAAAAAGGCTATCTAAATATCCAAGGAGGTCTTGAACAACTTGGCCAGTGGGAGGAGAAGTGACAAATGGAGTTTAATTAAGATAAATGCAAGGTGTTGTATTTTGGTAAGGCAAACCATGACAGGATTTGCATAGTTAATGGCAGGGCTATGGGGAGCGTTGTTTCACAGTGGACCTAGGGATGCAAGTACATAGTTCTTTGTAAGAGACTATGTACGTAGACAGCATAATGAAAAATAAAGGGTTTAAGCGCGTTTTCCTTCACTGGTCAGATCTTTGAGCATAAAAGTTGAGATGTCATGTTATGACTGTGCAAGAAATTGCTGATGCCACTTTTGAAATACAGTGCACAATTCTGCTACCTCTGCTTTAGGACTGATGTTTGAAAGCTAGAGCATTAAAAAAAAAAGAATCAGCGATGTTGATTTGAATGAAAGGCTTGAGTTATAAGGAAAGACTCAATAGGCTGTGCCCTTTATCCCTGGTGGTTGGAGGCTGAGGGGTCAATCTTTTAGAAGTTTATAAAATCATGAGTTCACCAATAACGTGAATAGCAAAGACCTTTTTCCAAGGATAGGGATGTCTAAAACAAGAGGCCGTAGGTTTAAGGTGCGCGGGAAAAATTTAATGGGCAACTGAGGGGCAGCGTTTTCACAAAGAGTGTGGTGCATGTATGGAATGGGCTGCCAGAGAAAGTGGTGGAGGTACAATTAATACATTTAAAAGTCATTTAGAAAGGTAAGCGAATAGGAAAAACATAAAAGTACATGGAACAAATGCAGGCAAAGGAGACCAGTTAAGTTGGTGATACATTGTTGGCATTGATGAGTTGGACCAAAGGGTATGTTTCCATGCTGCATGACTCTATGAGTCTGCGGCTCCAATGATCCAATCGTTACAGCAAAGAAAGTGATGTCTGACACCCTGTTCCAGTTTGTGTGACAGCTTCTGTTAATGTTCTCAGGGCAAGGGGTACATCCGGTAGAAAATTAAAGACTATGTGGCCCTTCATTCAGAAAAGTTAATCCCCATTATCAGAATTACATTAATATTCACTAGAGCTTACTGGAAGCTACCTGCATGCATCAACGTCATTAGAAATTAACCGGTTGTATCTTTTTTTCTAAAAAAAAAATGCTTAATCCATTAAATCTGTCTGTTTGCTTGTTTGTCTTTGTTTGAAAGTTGTAGCTAGAATCAAAGAGGAATACATTTAAATCTTAGCTAGAATTTAGATTAGCTTGTATTTATTTCTAATGTTGCTCGACTATGGTTACTGCACAATTTTTTTTTAATGTTTTTTGTGTTGAGCAAAAGATTTATGATGTCACTTACTCCCAAAGTCTCGCACTAGGTGTTCAAAAGTTTGATTTGGAATGATTGTGGTCGAATTTGGTGGTGATTAAATCCTTTAATTTTACTGTGCTGTGAATAAAATAGGGAGGTGGGTTTGATTTGCCTGTTAGTTTGCATGGCATATCACGAGTAACCTATATTAAGGACGACTGCTAGTGTATTAGTTGGTCTATGTAATAGTTGAAAGCACTTTACTGGATAATGTTAATATCAAGCCAAACTTTCAGTCTTTCTATTCTGAGTATTCTGTGCGTTGTTATCCCATAATGAAATTTCCAAAATGCATGTCCATTTAATTAAGAACGTCAGTATACACAAGACTGACAAAGAGTGCCATTGAAAAGTTTTGGCTCAAGTGTTCTAAATTTTTGTTCTCTGAGTGATCCTGTTTTGTAATTTTTCTTTATTTGACTTACAGCCAACCTGATGACAATAATCATTCTCTCCAGGGGAAAATGCGCCCTTTCTGATTCGACTTCTGCTTACATGGTCGCCATGGCAACAACGCCGCTTCTGATGATGATCTTCAATGTGCATCACATTTTCAGTTTTCACTTTATACATCCCTTCTTTTCCTTAACTGGATTTTGCAAGTTTGTTATCTACATGAGCTCATCCAACCTGTACATGGCTGTGTGGTACACAGTCTTGTTCACATTTGATCGATATGTAGCTATATGTTGTGAGAAGCTGAAAACAAAGTATTGCAGGCGGAGGAAAGCAGCTATAGCTATAATGAGCACCACTGTCGTAGTTTATCTCGCAAACCTACCCTATTGGATTGCATATGAACCTGAACAAATAATTGATCAGTTACAGTGGGGTTGTCGCCTCAATTTGAACTTCTTCTCTTCTCCCGCAGGTGAAGCATTCTCTTGGCTGCAAAGTATTTTAACTGTTTGTCTTCCATTTTCTTTGATATTCATGTTTAATTCCTTAACGGTCAGACGCATTGTAGTCGCCAACAGAGCTCGCAAATCCATCCGGGGATGCAAAAATGAGAGTCAAAGAGACCCAGAGTTGGAGGTTCGAAGGAAGTCCATTATTTTACTCTTCGCGGTATCGGGCAGTTTTATCCTTCTGTGGCTGACAGCAGCGGTGAGCTTCTTATCAACAAAGATAACAGACACTGCACGTTATCATGGTGATCATGCAAATCCTGCCTATATTGCCACTGAAACTGGCCACATGCTCATGTACTTGAATTCCTGTACTAATGTATGCATTTATGCAGCCACACAAAGTAAATTCAGGCAAGAGCTGAAGAAAGTGTTGATATTTCCTTGGTTATTTATTCTTAAATTAACTAAACGAAATTAAAAGTGAATCGTATTGTATTGTCTATCTGCTTGTGTTGTCCTGTCTCAGAAAGTTTTCGTGCAGAGAGTTAAATTTCTTACATTTCAATTTCCTCAGTTCAAATCTGATTGCTTGAATAAAAAGGATATGGAAACTATATAATTATGTACTATTCTCCAAAAAAAATGTCGAATGTCTTAGTCGTGTTTAATTAAAATGGTGGAATTTCTTTTTTCGTTGTTTGGGCACCATCTGAATCATCCAGAAATGCAGGCGGAAGATTCTGTTTCAATAAACTCACTCTGTCTGATAGTCAGATGGGGTATGAATGCATTTTATCAGATCTCTCTGCCAAGATGTGAAATCTCACAGCCCTCCTCATTCCTAGCAGCGTAGCAGTGGTGTTAGCAAGTTAACCATTATACTCTTTTTCAGACATTTCAGACTAACTCATCTCTAAGTGCTGCTCAAATTCTTTTGTTCATTCTGCTCATTGCAAACTCTATCAAAATCTTTTACACACCTTACATATCCCACTGTCCTATTCACAGGAGTTACAAAAGGAAGTTAGTTCTTACTCATTGCTATAAGATTCGTAATATTAGTTTGACGAAAAAATTGGTTTACACCTACTGCTAGCATTCTTTAGTCGATGAGATGTGAGCAGTTTCCGTCCCACCTGACCTAGGAGGCTTATTTACAGACTCTATCTTGCAGCTGCATTATAACTCATTTTAGTCACATACTGCATTCTGAGGTGAAATTTACTGTCCTTACTCTGGCTAACTCTTTTTACCAATTAAAACAACATCTTTTCCATCGATAAGACTAAGAGTCAAACACTTTCATGGCTCAATGAAATTGCCTAATCTCCTAGATTCTTACAAGATATAATCCCAAAGTTATCATTCGTCTCTCTTATTGCTTTTCATTCTAATGTTTGTTATAGGCTTCAGGCTGTCTGTTCTGACACATTGAACTGCCTCCTGAAGACATTTGTAGCTGTTGTTTTTTTTTTTTACAGAACTCCTTGCATACTAATTTGTAAGATTCTTTGTTCAAAGTAGATCCAGTTACCTTGAGATAATTTCTTATAAAAGCTACTATTGTTCTAATTTATAGATTCATTTTAATGCTAGATCAAGCAAGCTAATTCCGTTACTGCAGCCATATATATGCCAGCTGGCAACCACATTGTGCCACCTTTGACCAGGGGCTGCCCCAACATGAACAAACAAGATGAATTGGCATAACTTTAACTCTATCGAACTACCTAGCAAAGTGTTATATTATTTGTTATTTCATACCATGACTCAAGCTTTTGCAGCAACAGAGAGAGAGAGAGAGAGACAGCCAGAGATAGAGAAAGAGAGCTGTATCTAGCAGCTTCAACTCCAGAAAACTGAACTTCAGAACTAAAAGGAAAAATAAAATCTTGCATTTGTGTGGACCTCTCTCCACCCAATCATGGTCTTTTGCATAATTAAAAATCCCAAAATATTTACTCTGCTTTGCATGGAGTCGACACGTCTGTACCAGGTTTAACGACACACCTCTTCAAGAGAAACATGATAGAACAAATGAACAAATTCCTCTTAACTGCACATCTCATCACAGGTGTTAGTGCCTAAGACGGTTCCAGAACTGGAGAAAATTTTGGGAGGGCAAGGACGGACTAAATGCAAATATGATAAATGTTTATTAGGATATTTAAAACAGGGATTACTATTTTAATAATGAAAAGTTTCACCATGGAAGCTAATGAATACAGTGATCACACTGCTTTTGGCTGAAAGGGGTGATTATTATTTCAATGATTAATGGCTGGTTTGCAATGCCGAGTCATGCTAACAAAATGGGTTCATTTCCCTTGCCAGCTGCGGTTACCAATAATGGCATGCATCCTCACCCTCACCCCTCGACTATGATATAGGGGTTCACATGAGAAACTGAGGACTGGTTCTATCTGTAATGACAGATAGTTCCTGTGGGACTATGGAAACATTGGGATGAAAGACATTTTTGTGAATGCATGAGTAAGGTTGATGTGGATTTGCCGGTGTTGGACTGGGATGGATAAAGTGAGATGTCATAGGACACCAGATTGTAGTACAACTGGTTTATTTGAGATAACAAGCTTTCAGAGCGATGCCTCTGCATCAGGGGTGAAGTCACTTCACCTGACGAAAGGACACCGCTCAGAAAGGTTCTGATTTCAAATGAAGTGTCAGAATGTAATGTGGCATTGGGTGTCTTCTGAATGTGAAATGTTGGCAGAGATTCAGATGAGCTCTCTTCAATGGCAGAGTTAAAAGGTTATTTGATACCGTTTTTGTTTTGAAGAGAGGTTGTTAGGCAGATATACCGAACTAGGTACTGAATACCACTTAAGTCAACAACTTGTGAGGCTTCGGGGTTGTTTTTTTTTTTAAGTCGGAGTAATGGAAGAAGTCTGTGTGTGTCCAAAGCTCACAGGCCAGCTTTCAAGATTTGTTATTTTTTATGGCTTTTGCGGCAGAAGTCTTTGGGGTCTCAAAAGATTCAGAACTTCAGTGAATGAATCCTAGCTACTAATCTCTCTGAACTTTCTCTTGATGCAAATTTCCTCCTGGTTTGGAGAAATACATGGAAGAATTTGTGCCCGAAATAGCCTTTTTGTTCACAGGATGTTACTATAGTGGCATATTTAATTTTTAATAGGTACTAGCATTCGGTTAAGTTTTCCAACACTTATTCTAAATGAAGTTAAGTTATTCTAAATTCTTTTTTATATTGTTTAAACACCATAGTGTTTAAGTAAATTGAGTTTTGCATAAAATCGTGTAACCAAGTGTGACCAATTGCATCTCATCTGGGTCACTGCACTTCAGCTACCTTTAAATAAGAAAACATTAGGGTCTAGGCTACCTACTAAAAATATTCTCAGGGGGTCTGGTCTAGATTGCAACAAATTTGTGCTCTTTATGGGACAGAAATCTATAATTCCAAATGGGGTTTAGGATTGTTGGGCTGAAAGGATGATCACAATGTTTTTTGCACAGAATCACTACAGTGTTGAAACAAGCCATCAGCCCAACAAGTCCCGAAGAGAATCCCAAGTGGGCCCATCCCTCTACTCTTTCCCTTTAAACCTACATTACCATGGCTTACTCTCTTAACCTACACATCCTTGAGCCCTATAACAAATTTAGCATAGCCATTCTACCAAAACTGGAATACCTGAAAAAAAAACACACAGACACGGGGAGAACTTGCAAACTCCTCATAGACAGCTGCCAAGGGTGGAACTGAATCCAGGTCCATAGCGACGTGAAACAGCAATGCTAATGACTGAGCCACCGTTGTGCCACAAAGTATAAGTGTCTTTTGTGTTGGATGTTTAATTCAGTTGGTTTATACAGGTTGTGCCTTGTGTATTAATGGCTCTTTCGGTCTCCATGAGTTTTCTGCGATGGTAAGTGTCTTCAGCAGTTTTACATAGGCATAAATATTGGAATTGGCAAACAAGCTAGAGTTGCGGTTGTCTAGGTCTGCGAGAAAAGGGGAGGCAACTGTAGCAATAGCCCAATTTTAAAAATTGCTGGAAATGCATTCGGAATCATTGGAAATGGCTAGAATTCAATTGCAGATGAAGCAGCTTGAACATGAAAAACAAATGAAGCAGTTTGTGTTATATTATTGTGTTAATTATTCGCAGAGGAAAAGGAGAAATCGATAAAGACACTACCAGAAGAAAGAAAAAAAAAACAGAGAGAGAAGAAAAGAAGAAAAAGAGAGAGTTTGAACTTCAGAAGTTAGCAATTAGACCAGAAAGTCGAATTAAAAGGATGATAGTGATGACGAGCAAAGCCATTGTCGCAAAATGCCCAATGGGGATCTGTTTAAATATGAGTTTGTGCTAAAACCCAACAGACAACGTTTCAGGAATTGAGGGACTCGGGCCAAGCGTACATTGAGTTTGATAGGATCAAACAAAGTAATCTTGAAAGGTGAATAAGGGCATTAAAAGTAGATCAAACATATGACCCCGTTAGAGAGACAATTATTTTGGTGGAGTTCAAAAATTCACCTCCTGAACTAGTGAGAAATCATGTGGAAGAGCAGAAAGTTAAAACGGTAAGATTAGCAGCTGAATCAATCGATGATTATGAACTGCTTCACAAATCAAAGATTGGCTCCAGCCATCAATTTCAATCTGTGAGGGGTAGTAATCGGGAAAAAATAGGAATCTTCGGATGGGAAGGGAAAAGAATATCTCATTGACGTTAAAAAAAATGATAGTTTACCACAGGTTAAAAAGGAAACCTTGACGGGAGAAAGAGAAATAAAAACAAAGGCTCAGGTGTTTTCACTGGAATAAAGTAGTCCACAATAAGTTGCAGTGCTTGTGGTTTAGAAAAAAAAAAGAATAATAAAAGGGATGTGGAAAGAAAAACACGATAAGCCAGCAAATTTGTGGAAGTAGTAAATGAAATCACTGTTAAAATTAAAAAAAAAAAAAAAATCCATCCCTGAATGTCCAACTTAGTCATGGGTTGGTTTTGGAGAAAGTGTCAGATTTTCTAAAACATTTACTTGCGAATGCAAGGTCTACTTGCATATGCTAGGAAGACCAAGTAAATAAATTACAATTTTACCAGATACAGGACTATGTCAATCCTTGATGATGAGCGATCATGAGATATATAATTCAGAAAGATGATTGCCAGAAAATAATATGTAACATATAGAATTCTTGGTGAGACAAGAAGTGATTTATTATGTACTGTGAGGTTGGAGTGTCCAGTGAAAAGTGGAGGTAGGAGTACTGGAGTAACTCTTGGCTCCAGGTATAGTTTGTCATTTGTAATGATATAGTTAGGTCACAAGTGGGAGTGTTGCCTATTGTGTTTGAAAAGCCAGTGAAAACCAGGCAACTGAGGTATTACCAGAAGCATATCCCGGGATTTTTCCTGACTGTGTGATAACAAGGTCACAAAGCCATCAATTGAAGCAGGGCAAGAAATCAAATAAAAAAGACA